CCAGACCATTCGACCAATTTGACCAGACCAGTTTGACCAGTGAATTTTTGGTTGACCAGTGATTTGACCAACTCTGACTATAATATAAAACTATTTTTTCTAATCCTAATAATAGTAAATTTATTAAAACTTGTTTAGTAAACAAAAAGATATATATAAATTAATTTTAGTAATTTTTTATAAAATTTATTATATAAAATATATAATTTACTATACTAAGTATAGAAAATATTAATTATTTTTAGGCTTGTATTACTTCCAAACAGATTTATTTAACCTATTTTAAAAACTTAACTTTTAAATAAAATAATTATTTTAAAATCAAAGTTAAATCTAAAATAAACATTTTGTATTTTTATATACAGAATAATTTTATAATAAATAATTAAATAATTAAATAATTAATTCATTATATATTAATTTTTTAGCACTGTACTAAATTAAGTGCAATAAATTTTAAAATTCAAAATTCTTGAAATTAATTTATATAAAATTTCTATTTTTTTTTGATATTGAATAAAATTTATTAAATAGTTAAGCCTAAAATTATTTTTAATACAAGTCACTCTCGTTATAGTGAAGTGATCGGGCTGAGAAAAAAATTCTTCACTATATCAAGATCTTCACTATATCGAGAGTTCACTATAACGAGAGTGACTTGTATATTAAATTTAGTACAAAAGTGAAACGGATAGCCATTAATTATAAATTCTAACACTAATAACATTTACACCAAAATACGGGAAGTCATGGTACAGTAATAACTGTTGTTAAATGTGCTGTTAGCAAAATGGTTGTCAGAAAATCTACTGGCACCCAATGTAACTATATTTAATTATTGGGAGTTTTTTTTCTTGTATCAATAGTATATAGTTTGTAATTTATATCAAGTAGGCTTTTTAGCTTTTTATACCGATATTAACTTGTATTTTACGAGCATTAATCAAGTATCTAGGTAAACTACTTATCCATTTAATAACGCTTGATTATTTATTATTTAAATTTACCTCTAATAATAAAATATTTCAGACTAAAGTCGTATTGTTCATTATTTAGAAAAATCAAATATGTATCTGATATGAAAAGCCCCACAGCAAAAGATAGCTTTGGGGCGTTAGTTTTGCCGAAAGATTCTGTAATAATTATATGTTTACTAATATAAATCTTTATAATATATATATATTATATATATAAATACAGTCGATACTGTCTAATTGCAGACTTTTTATGCATATGGACAGTATATGCATTTAAGTCATAACCATTTTGGTGTTAATATAATTAAAAATTGACTATACGTATAATATAGTTGACGACAATAAATTTAGATTGTTAACCTTATATTAAAATTTTAAATATTTCTATTTATTTTTAGGCGATTTCTGATTTCTTAAAACAACTCCGATATCTAGGTATGAAATTGTCATATCGATGTTGTTTTAAGAAATCAGAAATTACTTAGAAATCGTGCGATTTTTTTTCTTGATCTGCAAAATTTGCAAACCGTAATAAAGTTATTTGAATATCGAGTATTTTGACGAATTAACCTCATTCACAAAAGTATAATCATATCTCAAATTTAATTCCTCAAATTTAATTCCTCAAAACATTCATCGTGTCATAATCAGATAAAGATACTTCAAGACTCAACGACCAGATTTTGCATTATTCGACAAGTAATCGAATGATAAAAATCGTTACCACACAATTATCGAATTCATTTCCAACTGTGCATGTTTTCGATAAATGAGTATAACGATAAAACGTTTGGCGTTGAAATTGAATAAATTGGACATATAAAATCCATTAATTAGATAATTGAACATCTAAAATTTTATACATCAAATTCAAGCTAACGATGATTGGTCATATAAAGGTATCAAATGATGAATTGTTTACTTCAGTCAGAATATCCCATTTCATTTTAATAAATGTTTTCAAAAAAAGAATAAGAAACACCCCAACAAAAACTACAAGAAATTTTAAATTATAAAAAATTTGAACTTTAATAAATATGGAACTAGGTATTGAATCCAGAGCTCCTTCTAAATGTAGGGAATGTCGCACTAACAGTAGTTTGTAATGTATTCTGTAAAGTAGATGTTACAGTACTTGCAAAATTAGCACCCAAATCACGAGCCACTGCGCTAGCACCACTTGTTGAAATTGTTGCTATCGTTCCAGAACGTTTCTTAAGTTTATTTGCTTCGTTATACGCAGATACTATCTCTGATATGTTTGTTTCCAGTACCTTCAATTTTAAAATAATATTTTTTTAGTGTCGCTTACGGAGGAAATACTTTTAGATTATACATACCATTCCTCCTGAAACTACTTCTGAAAGAATATGATGAACCTAATTAATTAGAATTAATATAAATCAATCGGAACCTTTATTATTATTAGTTAATATAGGTTATCTGCAAAAATTCTTACCTCTTCAAAATGAAATATCTTAATTCGAAATAATACAAATTTATGTGATAGTATTAATTATTTAGTCTTTGCTAAATCATATTTGAAAAGTTTTACGTAACTCACCAGATCTAGTTCGCACACGTTTTCAAAACATCGATCCAAACTTTCAACGAACACCTAGATTAGTATACATATATCTAAAAACATTTACCAAACACATAAAAGGATTTAATAAACCAAACAGTGAAATATTATTTTAAAAAAAAAACAAACCTGAATTAAATCCAAAATTCCCAATTCGCTTTCACTTTCATCAACCACAAAAACGAAAAATAAAGTTGCATAATGCCTATAAATAACACGAGTGTCTTTTCCACCGAGCATTTGACTCCCTTCAAGAAAATTACAAGCCGTATCAGGACGTTTTGAGACTAATGAATATATTTCTTGAAGTAACGCTTGCTGTGTTCCAATATCCTTATAATGACAGAAACATTGAAGTAAAATTATAAAAAGTGTTGTTATTTCAAAAAATAAAATAAGCTTACTATCTGTTGATAGAATTTTGTGATACGAGGTTTTCCATGGTTATTAAAAATAAGAACAGATTTAATCATTTTATTAAATATTGTGTGAAATTCACAGTTTTTCGAAAATTAAAAGGTTTAAATATCTGTGGACACCAATATTTCACATGATAATGAAACACGTGGGTGAATATAAAAATAGCTTTTTTTTAGAAAGTGAACAGTCACATTCTGATTGGCCAAAATTCAAACTAGATAACCAACGTATTTAAAACAATCTACGGCCAATTCATATATCAGATATATTACTAGATACAGTATTGGAAAAGTGAAAATCCAAAATAATATATAGTTATTGGATGCGAAGCAGGGAGATATTTGAAAAAAAATTTTTCATTAATTTTAGATAGGTAGTCGCCGAGATGTCTTTGCCCAAAATTTGAAAGACTTAAGTAACTCAAGCTGCGACAAAGTTTTTCCCAAACTTTAAGCGAGGATTTCTC